CCCCACCGAGTGCGTCCCGGTGCCCAGCTCCGAGCATGTCGCCGAGATTGTCGGTCGCCAGGGTGAGTGCGGGTGTGGGGGGTGTCCAGCTGGGCTTGGCCCCCGGGCCTGGGTGGGGAGACGAAAGAAAGGAGCTTGGGGCAGAAAAGGCGAACCCGGAGAGTCCTCCAGGTCCACCGGGAAGGGGTCTGGGAGGAGCTGAGGGTCGACGAGATGAGAAGATGGGTCACCTTGCGAATACCCCACGGTGTTCCTCTCATCTTGCGTGATAAAAGGTGCTAAGTTTCTCGAGCCACCCTATCCGGCGGTGTTCACTTTACTCGGGCTGTATTCCTGGAACACCCGGCTGGCGTGGCACCAAAAACCTCAGTGAGGTGGTAAAAGGTTGGGTCGGTTGTGGATTCGGTGTTGTGCATGGAAAGCTTTGAGATTGCAAGTTTGCGCAGCCGACCGTCTTTGTAAAAGCGCTCAGCTTGCCTTACAACGGCTTGTTGGGAAGAAGAAATGGACAGAAATGGAGGCTTGTAGAAAGAGCTCGTTCGAGAGGGAAGGGGATGTTGAAGTGGTCGTTCTTACCGCCCGCCCCTCCGCTGTTCAAAAACTTAGCTTTTTTGCTAACTCTCTGTTGCTCTTATTGTATTCGTTTCGATACACTTTAACTCTCGAAAAGGCACATTGGGTACCTTATAGAGCACTTTAGGGTGCACGACGAAGAAAAATTGGACAGTAAAGTAATTGAGTTAAGGAACTTCATGCGTTTATACAGTTTTAAGTAAATTCTCTTCACTTGCCAGCACACCAGTACTGCAGACAGACTCCTCCCACATTGCTCAGACAAAGGACCTAGGTCTCAGATTCCAGGAGTAGATTTGTGGAGGTGGGGGAAGGGATGCCCAGAGTACCTCTGTATCCGACATTTTTAGGGAAGGTCTTATGCTCTTTAGCGTAGCTCTTTTCCCTTTTATTGAAGGAGTAAATATTACCTGCCGCTGCCTTATTACAATATGATTTAACCTGGTTGATGCATGTCTTTCTCCTGTTAGGTTGAGAGCATTGTCGGGGTCAAATAAAGAGAAGTGATGGCGCTGCTGCTTAAATGATCTCATCTTTCCCAAGTGGTCTAGAGTACACATAAATAAGAAGTCTGTCGAAATGGTGGTTTCAAATATCAGAGTTGGCTCATCTCTTATCTCTAGGATTTTAATAAGAAAAATCCATCTGAAATCTGGTTAGAGGAAATAGCGTATTTCAGACTGCCTGGTGACTGGTACTTAAAGGCAGTGTTCAAAGCTGATGCCCTTCAATTAAGAGTTTATTTCTGTAGTTTGGTAGATAAATTTTGCATGCCTTTTTTTGTTTTTTGGTTTGTGTTGTTTCGTTTTTGCAATACTGAAGATACTAATCCAGGAAAGAACTGTTTCACCTCACATAGGATAAAATGATAACATCTCAAATTGTAGACTCAGAATGAGTTGGTTATTCAGATAACAACATCGGGAAATTGCTATGTATCAGGTTTGTATTTTGCAAGGCATTGAGTTTCTGGCAGTTGGGAATGTGAGGTTAATTCAGACTAACTTGGCTGCCCTTAAGAAGCTAACAGTCTAATAAACAGCGGAATGGCGCTAATCTAATCTGTAGTTAATGGCATTAACTATAGTGTGTGACAAAGTGGTACGTATAAGAACATCAACCCTGGAGGGCCTTGGAGAACGGATAGGACTTTAACAAATGGAGATGGAAGAAAGAATGAGGGACAGTGTGAGGAAAGGTGTGGAGAAATATCTCTAGGTATGGTTGGAAAGTTGCTGCTGGGTGGGGAGGGGAAGGTGTTTTTTTGATACTTAGGGTCTGATACTTAGGAGAGTGGTGAAAAGGGGCTGGGAAGGTGTCTGTTCAGGCCCTACTACGGTGACACTTCCTCAGCACAAGTTGCTTCAGTGTGCTTATGGTGACAGTTTAGGATAATGAAGGAAAAGAACACTTATAGGACAGTTTTACTAGGGGACAAGATACTGATATCTTTTGCATATTTAGTTTAATACACATTTTTGTCTTCTGTATTATACCCTTTAAAGCATGATTAAATGTTCCTTAATTATGCAGACTGTTACCTTTATGCAGATCCATTATTTAAAAGTAAACTGAATTCATTCCAAGTTTGTATTTTGTACCAAATTATAGCAATGAAATGGTCTTTAGTTTTTCTTTTTAGGGCCGAGCTTACTGGTTAATAAGGAAATGTGAATCTATTTATGTCTTAGGACATGGAGACAAATTGCTGACTATTCCTTTTACGCTTAATATTTTCCCAGAGTTGACAGCACTGTTAAAAGTATGTCATCATCCTCTATCTTATCTTAAGAACAAAAAGTCTTATCCTTTTCCTGTTCTGAACCATTCAACTAGTGGATCATTGACTCCCTTTGCCACGAACACTCCTCAGCAGCACCATGATAAAACCTGTAAAGTTATTTTCGCACTCCTGCAGGCAACTTCTAATGTTTGCATCCTTTTACAGTGTGATAATTTCCCCTTTCCCTAAGTGAATAAACAGGGCAAATCATTTAGTTTACTTTTTGCTTTGAATGAACAAAATTTTCCTCCTTAAGAATTATCCCTTCCTGCCATTTTATTCATTACCTGAAGTCATAATTTTCTGTTTGACATCTCTTAATTGGTTTTGGAAATAATTATGTCACAGATGGAGACATCTGTGACCAGCTCTGAAGCAGAGTAGGACAAATGGAATTCTGAGTCATATAGACTAGCAACTCATGTAGATGGCCTCTAGCTCCATTGTCTTTCAGAAAAACAAACCGCTGCTTTTGATTGTGATGAAAGTTTGCAGAGTGTTGACCTCATATTTATACCCCCCAGCAGCATATGGTCATTTACAAATGTTAAATTGGCCCCCTTTTTTAAGTGTGCATCTCATTTTGAAACCAACAACACTGTACAACAAAGCCAGGAACTGAAAAGAGGCTAAAGACTTGTAATCCAAGGTTTTATATTACTGTTTAAGATTAATGTACTTGATGGTCTATGTGTGTTCTCTAGCCTCCTAGTCAAGAAGGGCTATTTCTGGCTTTTTTTAATTGTATACTGTCAAAAAACATTTAAACTAATACTCTCAGTATCTGGATATTTATGAATAATACATATGCTGATATACTATACATTATAAAACATGTAAACAATTTTAAAAGGATGAGGTAAAGATGGAAATTGGAGTGTTTTGATTTTTTTTTTTTTTTTTTCCTGCACTCCAGTGAATTTTCTTGCACCCTACTTTGGCTATCACTGAGCTAGACCTTCTTAGAAAATTTTTTCTTCTTTATTGAGCTGCTCGCTCTCCACTGATCCCCAGTGATTGTGTATATTGTCACTTTTTAAACAGTTAATATGTTACATCACTTGAAGTTGTAAATACATCCTTGTGAAAAAATTTCCCAGTTTCCTAGGGTGGAACCACTCTTCCAAGTTCTAAAAAGAGAAAGCTTGGTCTTGTACATAAATTCCCTGTTTAAGAAGAAATATACATTTCATGAGGAGAAATAGTTTCAGAATAATGCTAAAGCTTGGTGTCTCTTTTGTGGAAGAGGGAGGATTGTTGGCATTCTCTCTGCCAGTTACTATATTACATGCCATTTAACTCTGCTAGGTGTGTATCCCCGTTTTGGACATAGAAACTGAGGTGCTGATAGGTATCTTGCTCAGATAGTGAAACTTGGGGTTAGACCAGTTTGTTTGCTAGTAAAGATAAAGTTCTCATTCTACATTGCTGCCTCAGTATTGAAGCATCTTGCTCAGAAAGGCTAATAATATTTTGGGTTAATTTCTGCCCTAATCATGAGTTGGGGTACTGTATTTCTAATATGCATAACTTAAAATATCATCACTGTCCAAATTAATTTACTTAATAAAATTTTGGTGTCTGCTACACAGAAGGCACAGGTCATTCTAACATTCTAGTTCTAATGTGTCTAACTAGAAATTCACTGTCATTTATAATTCAGAAAGTTAATTTGTATATACATGCTAGCTTTAAAAATTAAATGTCATTATTCTAGGCTTTAAAATCTAAATAATAGTTTGTATTAGCTCTGGGACCATTGGGGAAGGTTTGATTATTATAATTGTTTTGTAAATAGGTGGGGAATCTACTGCCTTTTCTTCCTGCCTTACTCAGCTTATGAACTATTTTGATTAACTAGGGAGGAAATGGAAAATAAAGTGGTAATTCAAGGGTGTATTTTCTGCCCCCTGGTAGAAATGCCATTGACCTAAAAATGATCCAGGGAATCAAGTATTTGAGAACTATTAATCTGTTAGAGATTTCCATTGAGGAAAATTTCCAGCAGTGTCTGTGAGTTGGAATTCTAGATAGTTCTTATATTTTAAGTTTTCAAGGAAAGGTGGAATTTAGTTATAAGACAGTGCTTAATATTTTATGGATTTGGTTTTGAGTGAATTTAATATTTGTACAGATCGAAGAATTTATTGCTTTTGTCTTAAACTGAGTACAAAAATGTTTTAGAATGTATGTTTTAATATAAAAGTATTTGTTGAAAACTGTCCCAATTTGCCTTTAACAGTCTCTGCTCAGCTGTGATATATTGGAAAGAGCCAGCAATCAAATTAAAATTCCTAAATTCTGATTACTCTGCGCCAGTAACTCACTTTGTGGTCTTGGACAAATCACTTAAACTTCCTAGGCTTCAGATTCTTCTTCAGCTGGGCATAACCATATCTACAACACCTCTGGGGACTATGAATTGTACACAAATAAATTGACATATATGAAACTGTAAGTGATAAGCACATACTACTTTTGTTAAGTTAAATCTGAAATTAATTCGAACCACTCTGTTAATCTCATTCACCTTTCCTCGGCTTGAGCAGACAGTTTTCACACATTACTATATTCGTCTAAGGTGATAGAACTAGAATGAACTGATGTCTAAATGCCTGTTTGGCACATGGCACCTCTATTCAGATAGGCTTAAATGATGCTGTGATAACAAAGAACCCCAGCATCTCAGTATTGAAACACCAGTGG